TCCCACTGACTTCAAATAGAACTCGATATTGCTAACTGCAAGAGATAAAAATTAATGAGTCAGACCTCCCGCCCCCCGTCATTCTTTTTTTTTTAAATAAAATCATGTTTTTAGTCTGTCTTTAGACTTTTTAACTCCCCTCTATTCCTCTGCCAATGCATGATTGATAATTTCAGGTTGAAAAGTCAACCTTTAATGCACACAGAAATGCACACCACTTCTTGACAGCCCAGATGGAGACTTCACTTACCTCTCCTCACCCCTGAGGTAAGGGAGGCCATGCATTTCCTAGTACTGTCTTCCTGACCTTCTCAGCAACATTTCTTTGCCTCCTGCTGCCCTGGCACTTCTTTATCTGGGACCCAATGGCACCACTTTGTTGACTCCCCACTCTCTTGGGTCTTCTCTGCCTGGCGCCCAGCAACAGCTTTTCCCCCAACTCCTTCCTCCACTGCCCCAGGACCTCCTTTGTGCTCTAGGGCCATACCTGAAGGAAGGGCTTAGTGGCAGAGCTGCTGTCATGTCCTTAGCCCAGAGGCTCTCGCACAGAGCTCTGTCTTCATTCCCAGCCCTGCAAATGGTGGGACCAGAGTTGCTTCTTGTGTCATTGCAACAGCTCCTCCTGCAGGCGGCAAAATCCGTGATGCACGCTCAGTTCGTGAGAGCTGGCAACACTGCGGCGGCTGCTTGGAAGGCATTCTCCTCACCCACCAGTACCCCCAGGCTGGGGAAGTAGCCATTCTACCCTCTCCATGTCCTACCCCGTCACTATCCTTTACAGCCCCCCACACCTACCTCCACAATCCCCCTGCTCCCCACTCACCTTTCACAGTGCCGCTATTGCTCCTCACAGTTCCTGGCATGTCCCGTCTAGCCTGGACCATGGTGTGGCACAGCTATGGTGCCTGAGGGCAGGCTTCAACCCCACTGAAAACAGCGGGAGGTGGCAGCCAACTTTATTACGGGCAGCCTCACTCCCGAGCTAGATAGACTGTAGGGAAATGGCAGCCATCTTACTTGCTTCAGCCCCGTTAGCAGTAATAGGAGATGGCGGCCATTTTTAATAAGGGAAAATTCGAGCGTTGGCAGCCCTTCACTATATTTTCATGGGACAGGTGAAAAAAACCAAACCACCACCGCCACCAAAATTGCTAGATTAACAATCAAATTGTGAGAGTTGTCAGCACTGAGAACTGTGAGTACCCACTGTTGGGAGCTGACAAAGAGCTGCACAAAGGAAACCATTTACGGTGCACACATTTTATTGATTTTACAAGAACTGTGCTACATATTCTTGAGTGCCATCTACTGGCACCTTATCTATTCTCTATTTACACACTGATGGAGCTCGCTGGTAACACTCTGCACTTGTGAACAGCAGGCCCAATGTGCTCAAACTGAGCAACTGAAAACTCTTCTATTCCACATAGGTTTTAATACCATGCTCATCACTGTAGCATCTGAGCACCTTCCAGTAGTGCATTAAGCCACCTGAGTACACAGCTATCACACATTGTTTAGTCTCTCATCCTTTCCCCAGAGGGCGAGGAATCTGTAGAGAAGTTTCTTGTAGGAGTGTGTTGTCTTCTTTTTAGATATATAGATATATACACACACATCTGTTGCTATGTGTTTATATGAGAGAAGGCAAGATCAAAGAAAAGAACTTGCACTTGGAGTGAAAGGTGGTGAGGTTTGTGATGGTCCTTAGCTCCTGGGGAGTTCATGCCACAGTTCTGGACTGCCCCTGGAGAGAATTCTGTCTCCTACACAGATGAGCTTTACTCTTATTGTAGAGAGGTCCACTGTGCCAGACAAGCATATCAACCACAGTCTTCATCCCAGAATTTTAGATGATCTTTTAGATGTTGTGGACGCAGGTCATGGAGTGCTTTGAAAATAAAGACTAAGACCTAGAACTTGATTCAAGGTACATGAGGTTAGTGAATACTCCCCCACCTCCCAATTCTCTTAAGTTCTCTGTCTCAGCTTCCCCTTCTGTACAATGGGGGTAATGATTCCCTTACACTCATGGGGGATTAGAGACAAAGAGGGTGAGATGATATTATTTAGTGCAGCGGTTCTCAACTGGGGGTCCGCGGAACCCCGAGCCCTTTCAGCAGGGCCCCGGGGCCCTGCAGTTGAAACCAGGTGCCCCAAGCCCTGACACACTCACACACACACACACACACTCGTGGGGCTGAAGCTGGGAGTGGCGCAGTGCTGAAGCCTGCTCTTCCCCACAAAGCCAGGAGCGGTGTGGGGCTGAAGCCGGGAGCCCCAGCACTCCCTGCGGGCAGAAGCCCTCAGCCCATGGGCAGATTTGGGGAGGCACAAGGGTGTTGGCCCCCCAAACTGCAGTCCCTTACCCAGAGTGGGGCAATCCGGGGGCAGCTCCACCCCCCCACACCTCCACGTCTCCCCCAGCCCCCCCTCAAGCCCAGTTCTCTGGCCAGGTTGTAGGTGGGAAGCCAGAGCCAGGCAGTGCGGGGCAGCTGCTCCTCTGGCTGATGGTGTCATGGAGTGGGCAGCTGTGGCATTCCCCCATCTGCTGCTGGTGCCCAGGGTTGCAGCTGCTCCTCAGCTCCCAGCATTTTAACTGCTCACACAGCCGGTAAGAGCTTCCCAGACAGGGGACCCGGCTTGGGCCAGCAGAGCCCTCGGGGAGCAGCCACCACAGGGGGAGCCCTCCTGGCACACAGCCCCTAGCTACCCCCTCCCTGCACTCTGAGCTACCTCCCTGCCTGCACACAGCCCCTAGTTACCTCCTGCCTGTACCCTGTGCTACTCCCCTGCCTGCACACAGCCCCCAGCTTCCCCATCCCTGCATCCTGAGCTACCCCCCTGCCATCACACAGCCCCTAGCTATTTCCTGCCTGCACCCTGAGCGGTTTTCAAACTTTTTGAGCTGAGTCCCATCTTTGAGTTATATTTTTTGGTTATGGCCCCGCACAACCCAGACCAGCTGGGTGGCCTGCTGAGGTGAGTCGGGGATGGAGGTAGCACTCACTCCCTGGAGCCCGCTGTACGGAGCTGGCCCAAGCCCCATCAGCCTTTGTGCCCGCCCCCCCAAAATAGAAGTCAAACTATGCCTATGCCCCAGGGTCCCCTCTTGGCCCACAGCCCCCACCCCTGCTGGGCCCTGGAGTTTTTATAGCTTGTTAGGGGGAGGTCTCAGCAAGAAAAAGGTTGAGAACCCCTGGTTTAGTGGACCAACTTCTGTTGGTGAGAGAGAGACAAGCTTCCAAGTCACACAGAGCTCATGGAGGATGTAAGAATTAGCTTATTTAGCACTTGGAAGATGTTAGAAGCAGTAGGTAAGGGCTAAGGTACAAACTGAGCATCTGGATACAGGTGTGGAGAACTTCCATTGAACTAAATGCCTAGGTAGCATGTATATTCCTCTTGGCAGTGGGGCAGGGGAGGTGAGTGCTTTGTGACAGGTCAGGGAGCAGGCTTGCCCTGTGCTCTCAGCAGCCCTACAATTGGTATCCAGCCTGTGAGCTCCCTGGGCGGGAGCTAGGGGCAAGTGAAGAAGAGAGACACAGATGCCCAATGCCCTGGCAACCTGACAGGTGTAGTGTGAAAAACTGCTGTCTGACTCGCTATTTAGGGTGAACTGAGCACGCGCAGTAACATCTGCTGAAGCAACTGCCCTTCACCCTACCCTTACTTGGCATCAGATTCTGCGGACAGCTTTTTGGCTTAAAAAGGGTCAAAGGGGGCAAATTGGAGGGGGGTGGCGGCCAGGGTCTGAGCAGGAGATGGAAATGGACTGGCTGGGGGACTTCAAGCAGCTGGAGGCAGGGTTAGGATAGGGGCTGAGGAGAGGCAAAATCAGGGAGCTGGAGTTAAGCTCAGGGGTCAGAGGCTGCCAGAGAGCAAAACACTGCACAGGGTAACAGTTATACCCCTGTGGACTGAGACACCAGTGTTTGCAAAAATAGGGTGGGGGAAAGTGGGGGCAGATTTTTTTTTATTTGGTCAGAGGGGCTTTTTTATTTCCCGTCCCACAGGACAGTCCATCTCAGCATGGGCTTCTCAGGGCTGGGCATCCCAATGCCTAGTCACCTCAGCTCCTTCCTATCTTATATAATCTACTGAGGCACTGCGGGAGACTTAATTCAGTGAAATATTTTACATATATCCTCTCAGAAACAAAGAATCGCTCATCAGTTTATATGACTGCATAAAGTCTCATAGTATCGGGGGTATAATGCCTGCATCTGTAACTTTCACTCTATGCATCTGAAGAAGTGAGGTTTTTACCCACGAAAGCTTATGCCCAAATAAATCTGTTAGTCTTTAAGGTGCCACCAGACTCCTTGTTGTTTTTAAAGTCTCATAGCAGTTTACAAATTTGTCTTATCTGCTGCTGGGATTCTCTGAATTGCGGCTCCCTTCCTTGTAATCCATTTTAAATATACTTTTGCTCCTTTCAATTGATTACTTTTTAAAATGTTATTTTCATTACTCTTAGCACTTCATCATTTACCTTTGTTATCATTGAGCAGATGCATGTCATTGTACTATTTAATTTATATTTTAATAACATACTAATCGAAAATATGTATAAGCTGCATAATACATGATGTTTAAATGACCTCATTCTATTAAGAGGTAATTGATACATTGGTACAGGAGGCAGGGTTGTTTGAAAGCTGAAGACTTTATGCTTCCATCTCACACCACTGTCAAGTTTTTTCTTTAGACACGCTTTGTTGCATATAAAAGTAAGTGTAGCCAGTGGTGGGCAAAGTAGGCAGATGTACCCCGATCGCTCACAATTTGCTGTCTATCCCTGGACTAAAAGACGGGAAAGGTGAGAAGGTAGCAAATTAGGACAAGTCAGCAAATAAGAACAACTTTGTATCAGTAACTGCCACCGGTAGCAAATCACACCAGAAGCAGTTGTTTACACTACCGCTCCCAGAGACCGGGCGGAGGCACAGACCGGCACTGCAGGCAGAGGGTGATTGACAGGAGGGGCGGTGCACCAGGCAGCATGGCGGCCGCCATGGCACTGAGCTGCGGGGCCCGCTACGGGCCCTGTTCCCGGCAGCTGCTGGGACTAAGCGCCCGCGGGCGGCTCGTGCGGCCGGCGGTCTGGGGAGGGAGCGCGGCGCCAGCTTCCAGCCGGCCCGGCCCCGGGGGAGAGGTGCAGTACTGCGCCGAGCTGCTGCGGTGAGTCCGGTGTGGAGCGGGCGCAGGGATGTAACCCCCGCCCCCACTCTGCGCACGAGCCCCGTGGGGGGGAGGGGCTGTAACCCCCGCCCTGAGCCCCGAGCCCCGGGGGGGGGGCTGTAACTCCTGCGCCCCCCCTGAGCCCCAGCCCCGTGGGGGAGGGAGGCTGTAACCCCTGTCCCAGTGAGCCCCAGCCCCGTGGGGAAGGAGGGCTGTAACATACTAAAAAAGCAATAAAAGGCATGACCCTAATTTATTTAGTAGTTGTTGTTGTAAGTCACCTTTAAAATTAATCCTCGTTTTGGGGGAGGTGAAGTAACACAAGCAATATAAGTCTTAAAATTTATCCCCCTAGGCGGAGTTTAACCCTCATGGATGAGGAGAGTGGAGGTAGAATTGGAATTAAAGCACTGAGAACTTTAAAATGAAGACTAATCAGTTTCATTGAAATTCATTGAAAATGTTCATGGCTATAGTGAGATGTTTAAAGGGACACACCATCAGCATAAAAACACACTTCTGTCTGAACATTCTTTGCTTCCTTGTTGTTACAAGCTATGCCTAAGCTTACTATAGCTGAAATTTATTACAGGGAGGAAAAAGTTTCTCTCTAAACAGGGGGTGGGGGGACTTTGTATAGGTAGTTTCATTGTTTTCCCCCATGTACTCGGTCAGTTTCCTTTGTTGTTTGAGTGGGGTTTTTCACATACTAACAGGGGAGAGAATAACTTCCAAAATAGGGAAATGTCATTGTACAACTACCGATATTGGCAGGGGCAGGTGTAGTACTGGATACTTCTGTAACTCTTTTTTAAAGAATGACTAGATTTCAAATTGATGGTATTCCTCAGTTAAGACAATTTGGTCTGTAATTAACTATGAAAGTGTCCTTTAAGGACTTGCTCCTAAGCCTACTGAAATCGATGGTATCAGAGGGGTAGCCGTGTTAGTCTGGATCTGTAAAAAGCGACAAGGAGTCCTGTGGCACCTTATAGACTAACAGACGTATTGGAGCATAAGCTTTCATGGGTGAATACCCACTTCGTCAGACGCATGATCTTTCCATGAAATCGATGGGTGTCTTTCCATTGACCTCAGTGGGCTTTGGATCAGGCTCCAGAACAGGTTTAGAAAGTAGTTGTCCAAGGTCACCCAAAGTACTTTCAGGGTATGTCTACACTACGAGGGTAATTCGATTTTACTTAAATCGAATATGTGGAATCGATATTGCAAAGTCGAACGTGTGTGTCCACACTAAGGACACACTAAGGACAGTAATTCGACTTTGTGAGTCCACACTAACGGGGCGAGCGTCGATATTGGAAGCGGTGCACTGTGGGCAGCTATCCCACAGTTCCCGCAGTCCCCGCTGCCCATCGGAATTCTGGGTCGAGCCGCCAATGCCTTCTGGGTAAAAAAAATTTGTCGTCATCCGTCCGTCACTAACGCCCTCCCTCCCTCCATGAAAGCGCCGGCGGGAAATCAGTTCGCGCACTTTTCTGGTCAGTGACAGCGCGGACGCCACAGCACTGCGATCATGGATCACGCTGCGACCATCGCTGCACTTGTGGCCGTTCTCAACACCTCGCAGCTTATCATACACCTTTCCCTGAGGCAGATGCAGAGAAATCGGGCGAGGAGGCTACGGCACCGCCGTGAGAGCCTGAAGTCGGAGAGTGGCACAGAGCTGTCAGAAACCACGAGCCCCAGCGCCCAGGACATCACGGTGGCAATGGGGCATGTGGATTTTGTTGAACGGCGATTCTGGGCCCGGGAAACAAGCACGGACTGGTGGGACCGTATAGTGCTTCAGGTCTGGGATGAATCCCAGTGGCTGCGAAACTTTCGCATGCGGAAGGGGACTTTCCTCGAACTTTGTGAGTTGCTGTCCCCTGCCCTGAAGCGCAAGGACACCCGCATGCGAGCAGCCCTCACTGTCCAGAAGCGAGTGGCCATAGCCCTCTGGAAGCTTGCAACGCCGGACAGCTACCGGTCAGTCGCGAACCACTTTGGTGTGGGCAAATCTACCGTGGGGGTTGTTGTCATGCAAGTAGCCAAGGCAATCGTGAAGGTACTGCTCCCAAAGGTAGTGACCCTGGGAAACGCGCAGGTCATCATAGATGGCTTTGCCGCGATGGGATTCCCAAACTGCGGTGGGGCTATCGATGGGACTCACATCCCTATCCTGGGACCGGACCACCAGGCCAGCCAGTACATCAATAGAAAGGGCTACTTTTCAATGGTGCTGCAAGCACTGGTGGACCATCAGGGACGGTTTACAAACATCTACGTCGGATGGCCGGGCAAGGTTCATGACGCTCGTGTGTTCAGGAACTCTGGTCTGTTTAGACGGCTGCAGGAAGGTATTTACTTCCCAGACCACAAAATAACTCTTGGGGATGTGGAGATGCCTACAGTCATCCTCGGGGACCCAGCCTACCCGCTAATGCCCTGGCTCATGAAGCCCTATACTGGCGCCCTGGACACAGAAAAAGAACTGTTCAACTACCGGCTGAGCAAGTGCAGAATGGTGGTGGAGTGTGCTTTTGGCTGTCTCAAAGGGAGATGGAGAAGCTTACTCACTCGCTGTGATCTCAGTGAAACCAATATCCCCATTGTTATAGCAGCTTGCTGTGTGCTCCACAATCTGTGTGAGAGCAAGGGGGAGACCTTTATGGCGGGGTGGGAGCTAGAGGCAAATAGCCTGGCTGCTGATTACGTCCAGCCAGACAGCCGGGCCATTAGAAGATCCCAGCGGGACGCCCTGTGCATCCGGGAGGCTTTGAAAGCTAGGTTCCTGAGTGAGCAGGGCAACCAGTGACTTTTCAGTTTGTGGACAGAAAAGCTGAACCTGCCCCCGTTTCTTTACCCAGTTCATTTTGACTATCCTCTCCAGTTACATACCCCCTTCACCCCCTTCCCCTTCCCAAAAAATAAAATCATTTCGATTTTGTTAATGAACACCGTTGTCTGTATTGCTGTTTTCGCGGGAATATTTTAAACCGGGGACGCAGACTGTGGCGGGGGGCGGGTTCAGTGTTCTGATGCAAATGATGCTTCTAAACTCCCGGAATGACAGGCTCCGCACTGGTGGACTGGTTATTTCAATGGAGCCTGCCAGCACTCCTGGGGGGGGACTGTGTGTATGTGTCGGCTATGTGACTTTCTGGCAGGGGGGG